TTATTCCTGGTCAATAAATTTTTTCCTGTGCGAAATCATGGCGACTTGCTGGTTCAGAAATATTGTAACCATGAGAATATCCTTTGCGTGCGCGATATATATTACGGTCACGTCCTTGCCCTCGTTACCGCGATGTTACTTATCAATTGCATTCAAATTTTGATCAGAATCAATTATCTGATAAGATAAAAAGGTGTTTAAAAAATCTACTAATATTTTAAACTTGTCAGAAGATATCTTCCAAAAATACCTTGGTCTAGGAGGAAAGCAGCGTTATGTGGGATTTGACCCACTAAAACAACTTCGGTGGCCATCTTCAAGTGACATAGTCGAAGGTCCCGGGATCTTTAAGGAACACACCGGAACCTTCGACTAACATAACCTAGGTAGTTTAAATAGTAAGTTTTGGATTCAATTGGTAGATTGAAGTTTTCTTAACAGAGATTTTTCCTGTGATGTAATCAGATTAGGTTTTACACTTTGTCCTTCGTGTGATTTTTTTTCCTATCCAAAGTAACATTGATCTGATACTAAACTGAGTCCAACAGTTCATTCAACTGATGGCCTTTTGTTTTATCTTATCTTATATCGTTGTCTTTACATCTTAACTGCGTGTTGAGAATACAAATACATTCTTTTGTAACATTTCCCAAGGGTGTATTCAATTCATTTATAAATGTTTATTAAATGTAATTAAAATTATGTCATCTAAACACCCAGAGGTTAATTTGTAACCAAATTATCTATTGTCTTATTTTTAGAAAATTACACCAAGTGACATTATAAAATTGATTCCTACCTTTGTTACTTGAGTGATTCTGTAAGACGGATCACCTGTTAACTCGTCATTCGAGAAGGACAACGTAACTTCCTTGTTTATTTTTCCGCAAGTACAAGATCAGTCTAGATCTAGCCGCTCTAGTTGGCAGGCAATCAGTTTTTGAGTTATTTTAATACATACAAAAATACAAATGTTTCCTTTTTGTAATAATAGTATAGAAGATAATTGCCAGTTATAGAAAATGCGTTAATACAAAACTGGACCTTACTCCTTACAATGTCAGAGTATTATGAAGATTGAGACATGGAACACAAATGATGATCCTTTGTACGCGGAGAACAATACACGGCTAGCTTCTTTTTAATTTCCTCCCTTTGTTTGTACACACTGCTATCTAATTAGTTATTTGTTGGAAGAGATGGAGTTTGTCTAGTAATGAATAGTTTTTCATGAAGTAGCACCGCGAATTTCAGCGACTGTACATTCATACGTAGGTAATTGCATTCTAAGATCGGTCTGAAAATTTTGTAATTACTTATTTTTATGGGAGTAACAATTTAGTTTATAGCATTTCAGTATGAAAGATAACGATTTGATTAATCAGTAAGGATTAGATTGAAGTATTTTTAGAAAATTTTGTAAATCACTTATCGGTCGACAACGGTCAAGGTAACCGTTTTTACAATAAACATGGATACCTATGATATTAATATTGAATGTAATTTTGTTCACCTTTTACGAACATCCGATACAAATACTTTTTTAATTACGGCGCGTACTTATTTTAAATCATGTTTAAAACTCTACAACGTATTTCAGAAAGAAAGTAATAAAGTATAGTGGGACGCTGCTATTTTCGGCTTAATAAAATTTGTTTTATTTTATTCTGATAACATTAAAAGTAGGCTGCGTCATGTTCAATTTAAATCTTCGTCAACACTTATGTTGATATAAATTTATTTGCGTCGCTTACCGAATAATTGTTAGCAGATCAATTTGTTTTCATTGGTCTTTGTGTTCATTCCATTAATATACTTATAGTTTGTAAACACTTCCTCGACGGAAATTTTCCTCTCGGCAAATGTGACGCATACTGATACATCGGTGATTCTTTGAAAATCGTGTATTGTATATATTGTTATTAATTATATTATGATAAATATTAGACCAAAGTTTAATACTAAGTACAACAAAGTAGCAGAGGTTCCTCATACATTACCGATACAGGATGATATGTCAAATCATCCTGTATCGAGAAAAGGAGAGTAACCGTGCATATCGGCGAGAGCTAGCGTCCATTCGTATATACTAGATATTTTATTTTATACTAGCTATTCCCGTGCGGCTTTATCCACATGAAATTATGAAAATTGTATTTTATTGTTTAAATTTCTCGAATAATGTCCAAATGTCAAATTGACATGACACGAGGTCAAGGCATTGCAGTCTTACTTCCTTGATGTTGACATATTGTATCTTATGGTCACTTTCCCACATTGGGTTTTTTGTTCAATTTATTTACCCCTTAGTTTAATAGCGTGAAAATATATATCCTAAAGCGCGTCGTGTTAAGGTCTTTTTATTAAAGAAAGAATTATTAAAAAATATGCTGTGATTGCTGACATCCTCCGCCACAAATATGTGTGTGTTTACGCTTTATTATATTAGTATAGATTGTTATTATGCAAAAATGCAATACACATATTCTTAAAACATTGCCGGTGCACGTTATAGAATAATTCAGCCTTCAAGTCACCATTATAAATTCATGTCACATTTTATGGTGACCTTTCTCAAACGTAAACCATAACTACGGGTAATGACCACTGTACCATTCAAACGTATACGTAAATACTTGTTTATGTTGAAGTAAGGCTCCTTGTTTAAGTATGGTACCCGTAGAAAAACTTAGGTTTACATTATTCATAAAGAACGGATTTCTTATAACGATTTAAAACTTATAAATGTTATAAACAAGTTGTAAACACCACGACATTTTAAATCTGTCTATAGGTTTATATAATCTTCATAACTGCAGTAATTCGGGTTACACAATCTTCATAGATATTTAATTAATAGTAGTAATATGTTGTCCAAGGATCTTTCCGTCAAGGCACTATTGACATTACTGTAGCTTTTCTTTATTGTGATCACGTCTTTAGTACATATTCATTTGTGTTTATAGCGTTTAATATATGTGGATATTTTAACGATACATAGCAACATATCTGTCTTCTACTAGAAACTTTATAGACGTGAGTGTTCCCGACTCAGTCTAAAATAGTTAGACGATAAGTGATATGGAAGCCTAAGGTGAGGTTGGAAAAGATCTGGTGTTATTAAGCAATGGTACGTCTTGGTAACGAACGTCGGTGGCTTAGTGAACATCGGTGACTCAGTGGTTTAAGCACTTGACCTGTAATCTACAGGTCTTGGGTTCGAATCCCGCCATGTACCAATGTGATTTTCGATTTTTCGAATTTTCATATGTACATAATTTACCCGACGTTCTTACGGTGAAGGAAAACATCGTGATGCAACCTGCACATATCGGCGAAGAAATTCAAAGATATGTGTGAAGTCGACCCTTACTTAGGGTAGGCTCCGTGCCCCTCGGTGGGGACGTATAGTGAGCTGGTGATGAAGCAATGGTAGTTAATATAAAATTACGAGTACCATTAAATTAACTTGGTTTTCATCACTTGAGACATAAAACAGTAATTCGACATTACTTAACACTTAAACCAAAAATAGATCTCCCTCGCAATGGTAATAAGACGCAAACAATTAAATATTTTATTGAAAGCATTAGCATTTATGGTAAACGACAGTAAAACTGTATCACAATGACGTAAAGCTTTCATATGACGAGACGTTAACTTTAATGCTTGGTATAACATCACTCACATCTTGTTTTAATGATCTGTCCTAAGGACTAGGTCATTACATGCTAGTGTAATCATTGACTATAGTTGCCGTAAAATGTAACGTCACTATGAAATTATTGTTAATTCAATTTTTATTTGAATTATCTCCAAGGCAATTTATGATTTAACATATTATATAATAAAGCTTAAACACAAATAAATTTGTAGGATGTGAGGAATAACAGCATATTTTTAAATAATTCTTTGTTTAATAAAAAACCCTACATTTACGATACACTTTAGCCTAACTTTTTACACTAATAAATTTAGGAGTAAATAAATCGGAGAAAAACTTTTATGTAATAAAGGGACCATAATCTACAAGCTGCCAACATTAAGGAATCAAGGTTATTATGATAGCGGTAATTTTGACATTTGCAATTGTGAATTTAAACAATAAAGTTTTTATAATATTATGCGGATGAAGCCGCGCGGGTACAGCTAGTTATTAAATAGTTGTCATCTATTGCCATACAAATACCATGCAATGGTTGATTTTATATATTTACTGCTATTTTATCCATAGAAAATGTTCTAGATTGAATAACACGTTTGATTAGAGTTTATTATTCAGCTTAAGTATATAAGGCGGGTGTCAGCAATAAAGCAATAAACATTATATGTATGACAACGAACGTTCTCTCTGTATTGTTGGATTAAATAGAGGTGCATAATTTTAATTTTATATGCATGAAGCATAGAGACGTACTATACGTTACTTGTAAACAACTACAGTTAATAGTATATAGATATATGTACATGCTTTGTGACTAAAAGTGAATAATGATTACTACAAGCTACTAAAACCCTATTACTGTATTTATTTGTTTCCTATACCCACAGTTAATACTATACCTATTAAAAATTCATAACAACCGTAACTCAAAAGTTACATAACACATAAAGCAATGCGGCGGTTATCGACGTTGATTGACTTTGTAATATCTAAAGAATATGTTTATAATGCGGTATTCATTTAATTCCGCATTAATACTTGAATTCTAAAATGTAATATCTCGTAAGAAAATCTATTATATATATTTTATAATGGTAAAATCTATTTTACTCGAATCTAACTACTACAATATTTCAATAACATATGTTGAACAAATATGTATTAACCAAAAAAAGTCATAAAAATTTAATATATAAATGCTCGGTTATAGGGCTCCCTAAATATAAAGCAAACTTAAGAACTCTGCTTACTCCTAAACCTAGAGTAAATAAGAACCCTTAATCTAAGGGTTGGTTGATATAAATGGCCATGAAACACGTGTATTCTATTGTTATAGACGGAAAGTGAGACATCGTGTGAGGAAGCGGCGCGGCTGACCGCAGAGGGCGCTGGCGAGGCTGACGATGACGAGGCATTTGATTACGGTGCGCTGCCACCGCCCCCTGACGGCGGCTACGGCTGGGTTGTCGTGTTCGCTTCATTCATGTGCAACCTGGTGGTCGACGGGATCGCATACACCTTCGGAATATTCTTACCCGAACTCGTCGCATACTTCGGCGAGGGTAAAGGAACTGTTGCGTGGGTCGGCAGTTTGCTGTCAGGAGTTTATTTAGCTGCAGGTATTTTTTTTAATTTTGAACACTTTATTTAACTCACCTAGTCTGAGCATGTAATAGATAATTACATTTCAAATTATATATCCTTTTTACAAGAAATCTCTTCTACCTATCATGATGGTTAAAAAGACGTTGCTATTGAAAAAATTGTCATAAACCAATATTATTAATGTATGTACATCCAGTTATGAGTAATAGGGGCGTCTCTAGCTCTGGGCGATAAAACTAAATTGAATGCCGTGTAAATATTATTGCGTACTTTATGTGTTCAAATATTTGTCAAACAAACATGACCTCACTTTTTGTCATTATTTGAACTAAGTTTAAACCAAGTTACTGCCTACCGACTTCAATAATTTATTAATTGAATAAGTTATTTCTTTAACAAAACTATTTTGTGGTTCTGTCTCCTGACGTCAAAATACAAGTACACTATATTTTGAGACGTTTGTTACTTTTCGCTTATTGTATGGGTAAATTTCAGACTGGTCGCACTATAATTTACCCAATCAAGCAACGAATACATGACATAAAATAGTAATTTCGTTGATATAACATTGCCTATGTTTTCCTTCATCTAGAATCATACATTTCTTTACAAGAAATTCTTCAAACATAAACACAATATTTACGATGTTTGTAGAAGTGACTACGCAAGTAAACCTTTTACATCGTAAAGTTATGTTAGTGTTTAGAAGTTTGCACAAGTCTAAATGCGTGAGGTAAAAAATAGGTCCCATTCCAACAATTATTATTTTTAATATAACCTCGGACTACAACGATATCGAGTATTTTACCATTTAAATATAAATAAATACTTAACATTTTTTAGACAAAGTCGCGGGCAAATGGTTACCAATAATACTCAAGTATCGAGTAAAAACTTTTATTAATTGGTTCATCTGCATTTTTAAACCGTCGAAAAACTTGACGTACCTAAAAGGTATTTTCTGCCAGATTTTTAATGTTACGCAATTTCTGGCTTCATATTGTACAAATGGAATAAAAAAACCCTTTACGTTATTTATTCCGTTTTCGACGATTTCGCGTTGATCCCTTGCTCCACTTTACGTAACACTCGACGGTTTAATCCCTCTGTACATCGCTTTTCAAGCGCTTAAAGCTTACAGAGAGGTCTTATGATAGAAATGTGAGCGACTTTATTATATGCTTTAATATTTTGACCTAAGCAAATTACATAGATAATAAATTACATACAGTATAAAGAACGAAAAAAAGACTGACCAGTTTTTTAATTATTCTCTAAAAACCTTATTTTTATTGTTTCACACAATCCAGATTTATTTTCTTTTTTTTTCTCTATCGTCGTAACCATCTACATACTAACATATGCAAGACATAAGTATCGTTAGAACTGCTTAAGAATTGGTCCAGGCTTGTATCGATTTTATCATTTATAAGATAAGATAACTTTAAGGTTCTAGACAGTGTCATTGGACTTTCTAGCAATTAAACACCTAACAATTAAATACCAAAAATAAATTACATGAAACAATACGTGAAACAAAACATGAAACAAAACAATACTCAACATTAGGCAACTCCAATGTTTCTATTATTACCTTAATAAATGCGTACTATTTATGTTATTTATTTTTAGTAAATCTTTTATTTTAGTAATCACATATAATGCTACCAAATGAGATTTATTACCATTACCAAGATAATCTTACTATAAATTGTGCAACTCTACAATTTTCACTTATAACAGCTATTTATTTTGCAAACCCGTATCAACTTGGCCAAGGCAATCCTTGCACATTTAAAATCAATTTACGAGAATATCTCAGTACTTAAGTACCAATAATTTTATCAGTATCCAATGTAATGTTACTAAGCCAAACATAATCTTATCTGTGAATTATAATGTAAAAAAAGCTAGTGAGATAATGTATTATTTTTATTTATCTAGTGTTATACATTGTTACTTATATTTATTTATCTAATAGTCGTAATTGACCTCATTAAACGTGTGTATCATAGATCGATATCAATAGAAAGATTGTATAGATCAAGTTTTCAATCCGTAAGTATTAAAAATCTAATTTGGAAACAGCGGTACCGTACATTTAGGCACTTTTCCAAAAACAAATTACCAAAGTATTACCTATCATTTTAACAAATCCAGCGTTCAAAAATCGCAGTCAAAATCTTTCAAGTTTATACTAGCTTTCGCCCGCGACTCGGTCCGCGTGGAATTAAAATAAAAATAATAGTGAGTAGCCTATGTGTTCTTCCAGACTATCCTCTACATCTATGGTATACCAAATTTTATCGTAATCCGTTCAGCCGTTTAGACTACAAACTCTTACAAACATCCACCCATCCATCTAAACTTTCGCATTTATAATATTAGTATGATTTAAAAGACTCGTTTTAACTTAAATAGTGTTTAAAGTGAATTTAAAATGAAACAAAGGGTTAAATCAACCATTAGTACCTACTGTAATCGTTATCGATTCATTTGAACCTAATTCGGGCTAGGTCACTGACGTCCATTACTAATTTATCGATATGTCTAGTCATTTCTCCTAGATAAACTCGCAACCCGTTCATTGTACTCATTTATCATTAGAACTGATTACAAACATGGCGGTGAGTCCATTTCATCAAGTTAAAATTAAAAGCAGTTCCTCTAGGGCGACATATCACAACAGACCGGAGTCTCGCTTAAAAAAAAACTTTAACATCAATAAATTCGACTTAAAATAACTATTTATTCCTCTTATTTCTCCTTTATAATATCTCAGAAAAACGCGTGGGGGTGGTAAAGCCCTTCTTATTGGTGTTTTTCGTGTTATCAACTACGTAAACATTTTAAAAAAGTATATTTATAGCGCCAGCATACTTATAAAGGACTCAACAAGCGTATGCGAATTGCCAACTTTGTCTAATTTTGAAATAATTAGGCGGTTGTGAAATGCAATCGTTTGTAACTACCATTCCAATTCGGATTGGATATCTTGAGTTGAGAGTATAGTCATAATAAAATAAACGGTTAAATATCATTGGAAGCAAAGAGGCGATTAGACCCTTGAACTGGATAGCGGGTATTTAAATGGTTCTTGAGTAAATAAGTTTTGCAAGTAAAGTGTTAGAATTTAGCACAAGGTATAGACAGGACTATTAATTTAATTTAACGAGTAAATGTAAAGTTGGGTGCATTGCATGTGCATTTTATGCATATATCCAGTATTTTATTAATTACATAACAAATAATAATTCTATAAGAAATTCAATGTGATGCATAAATCTGGTTAATAATAAGGATACACAAGGAAACTTTGGGTAACTACAATTTAATAAGCAAATTTCATAATTTTAATCTGCGTATGCATTGACAACGACAACTGGGTAATAAATGTAGTGACCAAATATGGGATAGGATGTTATGAAATTTACCTTTGAGGATGACAAAGTAAAGGAAAATTACAACTTTAAAATGCAGCTCACCTTCGATTTCACTCCCCATTCAGGTCATAACATAATATTCGACATACTATACGAACGTATAACGAAAATATGACAGACACTAATGTGGAATTTGAAAAAAACATTTTGTGTATTGCTAAATATTACAACAAATTTTTTTTTTAATAATAAATAAGACTAATATTATAAATGCGAAAGTTTAGATGGATAGATGGATGGATGTTTCTTAGTGTTTTGTAGCCTAAACGGCTAAAGGGATCTCGATGAAATGTGGCATAGGCGTAAAGAATAGTGTGGAAGAACACATAAGCTATTCACTTTAGTTTTTTTAATACCTCGCGAACGGAGTCGCGGACAAAAGCTAGTATTAAATAAAGTTGCAATATATGTAAATATCAGGTATAAATAAACAAATTGTCTTCTATTAGGTCTTTACCTATTAAATGGCCTTTTTTATAAAAATAATTAAAACGATTTATTTTTCATGTATTCATTTCATATACTTGTATTAATCTAAGAAATGACTAACAATGTAAGTCTTCTAAAAGCTTAGACAAACAAATTGAATCTTTCTGTGTTAAACATCACATTTAGTGTTTATGTATATTTGTGTTTAAAAAAACATACATACATAAAATATATAGATCTTTTGATCTAATATTTATCAAATAATTTTACAGGACCAATAGTATCAGCGCTATGCAACAAGTACGGGTGCCGTGCGGTGTGCGTTGCCGGCTCCCTAGTCGCCACAGTTGCGTTTGCTCTCTCCACGCTCAGCAAGAGCGTTACTATGATGATGATCACCTACGGAGTGATAGGAGGTATGTACATAAAGACTTTTCTGTAGCTAGTTTATTTGTAAGAAAACAGCATAAGGTCTCTTAAAAGGTACGGCATCTGGGGTTGTTGGTTTTCACTAGTAATAGTGAACTTTTGTAAAGTACAGATTTGGTATAGTTATACTTACCGAAACTTCAGTCGAACAAAATAACCTTCGCATGAAGTTAGTATTTTCTCCGCAGCCATAAAATTTTAATGAGAATACCGTTTCTAATTTCGATTTCTTAACATTCCGAATGTTATTTTACCGGCTTAAATTATAACTCTTTCTCGACTCGGACTTTAAATTGGTTAAATAGACTTGTATACCAGAAGAAGTCTCTCGAAACTTATATGGTTCAGCTATTAAAATTTTTTGTTCGCCAATAAATCTATCATAACCTCTGTGCGTATCAATGTAAAGGCGAAAAATCTGTAGAAAGCTTCTGAGAATTTGTGATAGAAAACATCGAGACATTTTGAGAAAGCACTAGGTGTCTTATATTTGTATAACAAAGCTACTCTATATAAACCGCAAAAGCTCTAACCCTTGAGAAAATAATCATGACAGTTTTATTTATAAACAATACTATAAAAAACCTATCTACTTTCTCTGCTCATAGTAAAATTATCAGCTATAAAAAACTGCCATTCATATGGTATTAGGAACGTTTCCAACATATTCAAAAAAGTCTCGCTTATGTTCTTGTTGTGAGTTGGCTTATATCCAGCTAATAATTTATGTTTTGTGTATGCTCATAGCGACCGTACCTGCCGATTGCACGTGGACTACTGTTGCCATATCTGAATTACTTGTTTACATTACCGATCTATTAATATCGAGAGTTAAATTCGCGTATGTCGAATGCAGTCACCATACGATGCAACATTTCTAATTTTGGGTTTACGGAGAATTGTTTTATATGAATAAATATTTTAAATCCGTTTTATTGTCCACTAGGTTTCGCCCGCGACTCCGTCCGCATGAAATTTAAAAAAAAAACAAAAGTGTGCCTACATGTTCTTTCAGACTATCCTCTACATCTATACCAAATTTCATCGAAATCCGTTCAGCCGTTTAGGCTGTAAACTCCAACAAATCCATCCATCCATCTAAACTTTCGCATTTATAATATTAGTATTATGAGTATGAATTAGTATGATATAATGAAGTCAAAGGAAAATTATGTGAAACTTTATATTATTTGAGTTAAAAAGATGAACATAAAAGAAGGCGATACGCCAATGATCTTTGGTACTTGCTTACTCCACGTATCGGTCGTATCATCTACCTCAGACGGTTGAACTATACATACATAGGTCCAATTATAAAAAAGGGTTTCTCAATATTCCCTATGAATAAACTCGGGTGCAGAGGAACGTGATCGAGTTAAATTCACGTGTTGTATCGACGGCCATGACACCGTAACGCAAATCTACGGACGTCGAGCGCCCGGAGAATTACAACGCTCAAACGTTGCGAGCAATTAAACGTATAGAGATGGTTTCATTCATTAACTACTTATATGATACGTGTTTTGTTTAAACGGACAAGAAAATGTTATCAAGTAGTGTTTATTCAGATAATTGTAAAGAATAAGAACATCAAATAGTGTTAATAAAGTGTAAAGATAACAGTTTTGTGAATCTCAAATTCTCTTTTTCTCACATAATTAAGGACGCGCAGGACTATACTGAACAACTTTATGAGTGTTCTGTTAGACAAAAAAAAATATCTTGTTAAGAAAATAAAAGTATGCGGTTTTATCACTTGTTTTATAGATTTTAGGGTAATTCATGCTGGATTGTTGATTTTATCATTACCTAGTGATTCATAATTGTTGCTTTAATGGAGTAAAACTTAACTTACGTAGTTTCGAATGTTTCATGAAGTTATCCAAAAAGCACTATTGAATGGTTAAAAGTAATTGCGAAACCGGCTATTAATGTGTTTACAATATAAAATGTATAATCAGCCTTATTTGACATACAGTACTGTCCTCGATTAAATTGCTATGAAGTAACAATCCATTTAATTAATGTTTACATGCCTATTCATTAGCTATCTGCGACGAGTATTTGTTCGCTATTGTTCCAGTGCAATGCATTATAAGGTTGGTTCGATACGCGCGATATCGGTGGATCCTTTGTGTCAATAATAACAATAAAGTTCTAATTAGCAATAAATTGTATTTTTGAGTTAAAACTTATAAATATAATTACATCATATGCTTAGGGTTTTATGACCCGTTAGTTCAGACAGCGAATGTAAAGTAAAAACGTATTAAAATATCGTATCTTACTAATCTTACTATTTTATTTTTATTATAAATGCGAATGTTTCGATGGATGGATGTTTGTTAGAATTTGTAGCCTAAACGGCTAAACGGATTTCGATTAAATTTGGAATAGACGTAGAGGATAGACTGAAAGAATACGTGGTCTACTCAGTTTTTTAATTCTAATTTTAATTTTTGTGAGAATATAAAAAGACCATTCGATACAAAATGATTTCCAATTTTCTAAAATTAAATACAAAGAAGCAACGTTGATTACACATAAGAAAATTGTAAATTTAATCTTCACAGGCCTACTTTAATCGATTTAATTTACATATGTAAACTTATATCCGCGTTAACAACAAAGGAACTGCAAGTAACAAAGAAACGTACTTATTCTTGTCTTTGCAATACGTAAATAATTTGGATAAGGTAAGGGACCAAAGAATTAAATATTAAAATGTTTCGACCTCTCCTTTGTTCACGTGCAACTCAGCAAACCGTCTGTTTGGAAGTTCGCCAACCGTTCGACCTAGGGCTGTCACTAAGGACTATACAATTTATTATCTGCTTGACACATATGTGTTAAATGTTTACAAAATCAACAATATTGGATAAATACAGACTAATAAATTGATGTTTCAAAATTATTTTCTCTTTATCTTTTTAATAGCTGTTTCATCTGTAAATAAAAACGTATACCTTTCCGTTATTTTTCAAAATTTACGCTTTATTTTATAATCCTTAGATCATTTGATAGATGATTTCGTTTGTGAAATATAATTATATTAGGTGATAAAAAAATTTCGAGTAATTTTTGACAGCCCTGGATTTAACGATTTGAATGAAACAGCTAAAGCGTCCTCTACCCCGTCTATAATAAGCCCTTTTCATTGGCTCCGAGTGGAAAACTTGGGATATTCCGCAAATGCAGACTTTTGCATCGATTTATTCCCACGATAAAAAATTCCGCGCACGACTTCGTTATTAGAAATAGTATTCGGATATTTGCCTATTGACTGCTTATTAAATTACTGAAACAATCAATGATTATACTTGCATATAGCATAATATTCATACATTTTAATATAGTTAACAACTTCCATTATTGTTATCTAACGACCTTCTATTCTTTCAATTAGCGTCGCAATGAATGTCTCCCATGAGATCGGATAATATCAACGTTAACGCTGTATTACATTTTAAATAACATTAAAAGCATTTAAAAGGGAATACTTATTAACTGCGTTAATGTTTTAAAAGTGGTAGAGCCCGCTTTAACATCATCGCACGAATGGGTCGGCTCGTCCGGTGTAATATCACGACCACACAGAAAACAGGTGTGAAGTGGAAGCAATTCCGTGTTTCGTCTGATGAGTGTGGTGCCGGAGGCCTAATTTTAGTCCCTTTTCCTTTCCATCTTTTTCTTAAGAGGAAAGGAAAAGTGGATTACCGGTGGAGGAGACGCATAGGAAGGAGAAATATTCTCTTTATGTGGCTCTCCTCCTCCTTCAATTAAGGGTAGGCAACGCATCTGAGATTGCGGATGTTTATGGGCAGCGGTCGCTTTCCATTTCGATAGATTCAGGTGGCCGCTTGCTCGTTGGCGACCTTATATTATAAAACGATTAATGTTAAAAGTTCTCATCCACGATTTTAAATCAATTCGGAGGTTTTAATTATTTTTTCTTTAACTTATTATTATTTCCTGATAAATGTTGGTTTTTATGTTTAATTTAAGCTAAAATAAAACATAATCCGCACGCGTGGCCGTGGTATAACAATGGAAACCTTATCAAAAACTTATGCTAGTAGCTCTATTATTAGTTTGTACGTGTTTATATGCGTATTACAGATTAGACACATTTAAATAGCGAATCTTACTGATTTCATTCGGTCCATAAACCATTAGAATCAGAGGAAAAAAATCGAATAAAACTAATGAATAAAAGTGACGCGGTGCAGGTATATTTCTGATGAACATTATATAAACACATTCCCACATTTGAACTTTGTAAATATGTATAAACGCGCACGTTAGCAGATCCATATACTAATTTATTATTTACACGCTTTGAAATCTGACAGCGCTCGTCTTCAAGCTTTATGTACTTACTTCAATACAATAAATACATTTGTTTTCAAAGATTACAACTGTGGATGTTCTTTACTTTATTATTTTCATTTACTAGATTTCACTCGCGGCTCCGTCCACATTGATGTAAGAAAAATCAAAGTGAGTAGCCTATGTTTTTCCAGACTATCCTCTACATCTATACCAAATTTTATCGAAATCTTCCAAGCAGGTTAGGCTTCAAACTCTAACATCCATCCATCCATCTAAACTTTCGCATTTATAATATTAGTACGAAGTATGATAGTATGATTATAATATTAGTACGATAATTATTCCTTTATATAGTTTTTATGTCAAGGTTACGGCCATTTTGGATTGCAGCCAGCCAGGCTAGACATAATGGCGTCCTACACCATTTTCTGAGAAAAACAATTTTAAAAAGATTTCTTACATGTATATTGTAGCGCAATTTTTTTTATATTTGGTGGAATCAAAATTGCATTATGTCTAGGCCTATTAATGCTGCTTTTTATTTTTAAAAATTTTTAAACCGTCTTAACCAACAATTTTCTTTTATGTTATAATTGAAGAAAACAATGTTTTCGCCAAAATTTCCGTTCACATATTCTTTGTATTTTTACTGACAAAGAAAAACATTTTACTGTTACATTTGTTTTGTTGTATTTTAAAATATTACTGACACTGCAGATTAAGGAAGCAAAACAAAAGACGCGAACGTGTTTTTGTTTTATTTACCTTTTTTATCAAGAGTTTTATTTTGTTGACGGTAAGGGACTAAAAAATTTACTCGGAAAAGCATGTAAATATTTTTTCATCTCAGTATAAAACTGAAAATGCTAGATTTAGTAAAATTAACTAGGCTCAAACCGCACTTGGATTTCTCGTACTCTCTTTAGTAACTAATCTATAATAATTACGGTTATATAAACATTTGTCTGTAATAATTTGCGTGCATATCTCTAGACCATATGTACAAACATTATATAGGGAACGTGATATAATGTGAGTCATTGCATTGCGGCCCACAAATCGACATCGGATACGAACAAAGGAGCGTACTCGTATGTAGAGGTCATCAGCACTAATTCAGAGTGCGTCACCTTCCGGCCAAGTGCGTTAGCATCGGGAAAAATAATGTCAATTTGCGTTTTACATATGTTTGATCATAACAATTAAGATCGCTTCAGTTTGCAACCTAAATTAATCCAAACAATGACTAACTTAAGACCCTCTCAGAAACCGAGCAGTAAGCAGTATTGCTGTCATACACTAGTTTAAAACACTGCTTACTGACATGGAAAATTATTATGTCTGAAATGTTACGTCAAGACATTACTGGATACTAGCCCAAAATATTATGTCTCCCAGTGCCACAGTGACATTGAAACGTGATGATCTCATTTTGGCAGCTGTGTGGCGGACGAGCTTGGAAATTGGTGCTAATGTGACTAAATGTCTGAATCTATTCTTTGGAAACAACTGACTCATTCACGGGACCACCAGCTGATTTGTATCTCACGAATATGCTACGAATTAGACTAAAATATACTGTCAATAATTGTACATACTATTTAATAATGAATTGTAAATTTACTGTTGAGGAAATGTATTCTATTATGACTGTAGAATAGAAGACTGAAAATCTTCTCATTACATCAATATGACGACCACGGAAGATCAGCACATGTGCTGAGTGGCTCTTTCATAAATAAATAAAATAAATAAATATGTTGCGTAATTGATATACTAAGCTAACTAAATAATGTACTATCGCTACATGTTGCTATAATTTTTACCTACGTAAAAAGTATTTCGAAAACAAATTGGAACATGTCGCTGGAGATTCAAACTCCAACCTTCAGGCAATGAGTTGTTATGTAACTTCCAATGAATTTATCCCCTAATAAGACGCGAGCAAATACCAAGAGAATACACTTGAATGAACGAGCGCGGATTGATAGAACGTAATATAAATTGGGTCACCTAGAGTGCCTACTTAATGGCGCTTGCGGTTTCTACCAAACAAGAAAAGCAAAAGTAGCTTCTTTTGTTATTCTTAGACTCTTGTCGATTGTCGACAGTTCAGATGACAGAAATAAATTGTTATTAAGGTGATACGTTAAAATTAAAGCTCCCTTCCTTATAATAAACTAACGTGTTCCCGTGTGGCTTCATCCGCAAGAAATTTTTATTGTTTAAGTTTGTCAAAATATCCAATACAAATGTCAAATCTTGCTTCCTTAATGTTGCAAACTTGTAGTTTATGGTCCCTTTCCCACATGCACATTTTTTTCAATTTATTTACCCTCTAAGTTTAATAGCGTGAAAATTAATAGCCTAAAGCGTGTCGTAAGTGTAGAGCTTTTTATTAAAGAAGGAATTATTCAAAAATATACTGTGATTGCTGACATTTTACGCTACGAAGTAGTGTGTTTACTCTTCATTATATTAGTATCGGTGATTGTCCAAACATTCCTACAAAAACACATGAGTATGCAGAAAGAACTAATATATCATGTAGTACAAATTTCAAACTAGTTGCAATTCTTTTTTATCCTCAGGTATCGGCTTCGGTATGATTTACTTGCCGTCAGTGGTGGCCGTCGGGTATTACTTCGAGACACGCCGCTCGTTGGCCACCGGTATAGCTGTGTGCGGGTCCGGTGTAGGCACGTTCAGCTTCGCCCCGCTCGCCAGTATACTACTGCAGCAGTTTGGCTCCTGGCAGAACGCAAACCTCCTACTTGCTGGACTTATACTCAACTGCGCAGTGTTCGGCGCACTTATGAGACCGTTGGTGTATCCGAAAGTAAGTTATCAAACTATAGAAAAAATACAAATAAGATAAACATGGCTCGTCTACCGTTTAATTGCTACCATTATTTGAAACCATGTCAATCTTTACTATCTGTACTAATAATATGAATAGAAAAGAATTTGTATCTTTTATGTATTAAAATAATTACAAAAGTACTGGGCCAATTAAAAAAATTGTTGCACCATTTAAAAGGAACTCTATCACTGAGTAAAATAGGCTATATTTTTTTCAAATCTTAATTCCCCGTGTCCGAAGTCGGGAGAACCAGCTATTTATCGTAAACGTTTCCCTTTTCAGACATCAGGTCAAAAGCCTTTACTACAACGAATGGCCGAAGAGAAACGACTGCAAATGGAACGAGGATCGATCGGAGGTTCATATTTCGTGGTACAATTACCTGATGGTACAATGGAGAAACGATTGAAGGTAACCCTTTTAAACAATTTAGGTTTACACTAATTAAGTATTTTATATTACATTGAATTTTGAACTTTAGGACATTGGTGGTTAAATTGTTATTTTCAGGCGCCGCTGAACATCGACCCGGGTGTGCACTCGTCGCTGAACCTGGAGGCGCTGGCGCGCGTGCCCACGGTGCCCAACATGCCGGGCGTGCCGCCCGTGCCCACGCTGCCCACCATCACCGAGGCCAGGGTCGTGGACGTAGATATCGACGAAAAGAAAAAGGTATAACGCAACAAAAAAGGTATAAACTATGCAAAGATAGTACGGACCAAGAGTGTAGTTTTAAATATTGAATTTTTGAAATCGACACAGTAGTTTTTGAGTTATTCAATACACATAAAAACACAAATCTTTCCTCTTTATATTAGGCTTTCGCCCGCGACTCCGTCCGCGCGGAACTAAAAAAAAACAAATTCAAGTAGCCTATGTGTTCTTCCAGACTATCCTCTATATCTATGCCAAATTTTATAGAAATCCGTTCAGCCGTTTAGGCTACAAACTCTAGTAAACATTCATCCATCTAAACTGTCGCATTTATAATATTAGTATTAGTATGATATGATAGATTGATATAAGATGTATAGATGTAGATTTATTTGGTTTTATTGCATTTCAGAACGAGAACGGGTCTGCAGTAGGGGTGGGCGTGGGCGTGGGCGTGGGCCAGGCGATGGCGCGCAACGTGTCGTCGCCGGCGTTCAGTGCGCAGGCGCCCGGCCTGCCGAAGAACGGCTCGGTGCCGTTCTTCGACCGCCAACGCAAGCAGAGCGCCGGCGACAGGTCAGACAGCGATAGGTAACCACTCTTTTACACTACACTAGGGATGTCTGTCGGTTGTCGGTTGGCGGTTGTCGGATGTCAGCTGTCGGTGCTCAAACTATGGGAAGCTTGAGTTTGTGAGTTAATCTGTTTTCCTTCAGTTGATCGGATTTTTTCCCATCCAATTGATCCCAATGAGAATTCTTATCAGGGTTATTCGATCAGCCCAACGGGAAACACCCGCTAGTTGTTTGTGTATCAATGTAAAGTAGTTTAATGTAGTGTAGTTTTTTACAAGTTTAATATCTTATTCATCCATATAAATGGAAAAAAATAGATTAGACTAGCTTTCGCCTGCGACTCCGTCCGAGTATAATTAAAAAAAACAAAAGCCAGTAGCCTATATGCTCTTTCAGACTATCCTCTACATCTAAACCAAATTGCATGGAAATCCGTTTAGCTGTTTGGGCAACAAACATCCATACATCCATCTAAACTTTCGCATTAATAATATTAGTGTGATTAGATTTTTTTTTTTTTACTGTTATTAACGTTCAATGCTATTATGATTTTATATGAATATGAATTTACGTGGCACTGAATTAAACCATGCTTAGAATGTTGTAGAGAAAAATATATCACGCTTATCAACCGCTTTTTTTTACCTTTTTTCTTGTTTTTTTTTTTAAGTAGATTAATTCTATATGTCTAGATTGTGTGTACTAAAAATATCGTAATCAATAACTAGGAATTTTAATATTGCTTTATTTTCTGATCTTCCAGATTTAAACCGTCCCTCGCTGCTATCAAAGCCACTTCGAAAACATCGATGAGCAGCCACAGAAATATGAACGATGTGAGTTAACATTATTAAGGTTATAGTATTGAAAAATCATGTTTTTATACATTTAAATGTGCTTCCTCAAACTTTTTTACTTCAAAACCTATATTTATAGTTTTGCATGTAAAAATATTAATGACGTATTAATATAAAAATAGTAAAGATGACTACAGTATTATTTAGCACAAATATAGTTTAACTAGGTCTCGCCTGCGACTCTTACCGCGACGTATTAAAAAAAAATAAGTAGCCTATCTGTTCTTTCAGAATCTGCTCTACGTCTATGCCAAATTTTAGCCAGATCCGTTCAGCCTTTTAGGCTACAAACTCTAACAAACATCCATCTAAACTTTCACATTTATAATATTAGCTAGATTTACAGGTTACAAGAAATATTCTTATCATATTAATATTATGAATGCGAAATTTTAGAATGTTTGTCAGAGTTTGTGGATTAAATAGCTTAACGGTTTTCGATGAAATTTGGTATATGTAGATGATAGTCTGGAAAACTTGTTTTTGGTATATTTTTAATTGCAAGCGGACAGAGTCGCGGGCGAAAGCTAGTATCTTAATAAATAAAATAAATTGTATATCCAGGGTGACACAGAGAGTCAGGTGTACAACTCGAAGCTGTCGGTGGCGGCGAGAGAACCTTCTAGAATGGTGCGTCCGATGTCCCGCAAGGACATCTTCTACTCCGGCTCCGTGCTCAATCTGCCGCAGTACCAGAGCCAGAAGTCGCTGCAGGGCTACAGGAACTCCGTGCTCAGCCTACCCCAGAGCAGGCAGACCGGCGACCTGGAGAGACAGGAACGTGAGTACCGTGATTCCAGTCCAGTGGGCGGTTCACATTTGGCCAGTACAGTTGAATAGTTGAGTCAGCCACTCACTGGCGCCCGTTAAGGTTTATACTGGGTTAGTAGAATGTCAGACCAGTAATTGAGTGCAACTCACCAACTGGCCAAGTGTGAACCACGCATTATATCAAAGCAAAAAATAATAATACACACGTATTTTACTTAAGAACTATATTGTCAATGGAACAGTTTTCAATTCTCTTTTGTACCATACATAAATTTTACTTAAAATGCGGAATTATGGATGGATAGATGTTTTCTGCGTATCTTCAAAACGCTTAACTTAACAATAGAACTTAGTCTGGAAGAATACAATACAATTTTATTGGAAATTAACTTCTTAGTAATATCATAAAAGGGATAGATTGGATGGATGGATGTTTGTTAAGAGTTTGTAGCCAAAACCAATAATTGGATTTCAATGAAATTTGGTATAGATCTCCATTTAAATTTAAACTTTAATATTAGTAAGCTGTAAATTTTTTTATAGTTTACTTTTTTACGGTAAACCAAAATAAATGGAGGTAACTTGACAGAGTACGACTTGTGCCCGTGCCTGACGCTGCCGGAGTCGTTCAAGTCGGCGCTGGCGTCGATGCTGGACGTGAGCCTGCTGCGCGACCCCGCCTTCATGCTCATCGGCGTCTCCAACGTGTTCGGCATGGCCGGCCTCTACGTGCCCTTCGTATACATCGTCGATGCCGCCTGCCTTAATGTTGGTATCTTACTCATATACATGGATGGATGTTACAGGTTGATGTATAGATGAATGTTTGTTAGAGTTTGATGTATGGATGTAAGTCTGATAAAGTTTGGTTTTTTTTTATAACATAAGGTGGCAAACGAGCAAGCGGCCACTTGAATCCGCCAAAATGGCGAAGCGACCGCTGCCCATAGACATCCGCAATTGCAGATGCGTTGCCTACCCTTATACGACGGAGGAGGAGACGCACATAAAGAGGATATTTCCCCTTCCTATGCATCTCCTGCACCGTCAAATCCACTTCCCCTTCCCATCCTCTCCTTATAAGAAAAGGGTGATAAAGAGAAAGGGACTTAAATTAGGCCTCCGGCACCACACTCATCAGACGAAACACGGAATTGCTTCCATTTCACGGCTGTCTTCTGTGTGGTCGTGGTATTACTGGGGGCGTGCCGGCCCTGCAGTGCTAAGATGTTAAAGCGGGCTCTACCACGGTTAAAATGTATGGTGTACGGATGGATGTTTATTAGAGTTTAATGTATAGTTGGATGTTTGTTAAAGTTTGTAGTCTAAACTGCTGAATGGATCTCGATGAGGCATAGATGCAGAGTCTGGAAGAACACATAGGCATTTTCTTTTTTTTTTTAATTTCACGCGGACAAGTCGCGGAAGAAAGCTTCATACAATGTGTTTTTGAAAAAAAAATTATATCAAGCTTACATTTGATTCGATTCGAGAATTTTGAGTTCTAACTATAAGGGACATAGAAGTACTAAATTCTACAAATAATTTACTCGTTGATAACTTCGAACTGTTAAAAATCAGTGCTATCAATAGATTTTAGTAATCGAACATGATGTGATTGTGATGTCCTAACAAATGACGTGCAGGGCGTGGAGGCGTCGCAGGCGTCGTTCCTGCTGTCGATCATCGGCATCACGAACACGGTGGGGCGCATCGCGTGCGGCGCCGTGGCCGACCTGCCGCGGGTGGACGCGCTGCTGCTCAACAACATCTGCCTCGTCATCGCCACGGTACATACATATTTATATCTATATGGTTCTAATTATGACTTAAATTCAAATATGTATATATATATATATAAAATAAAGAAAAAGCAGCTTGATATCGTCTCTTTCCAACATTATGGTTTTTTTTTTATTATTCATATATATATGTCGAGTCATAATTAGAACACGAGCGCCGCCAAGCGACTTTCGTGAGAACTTCGATTATTCTGAAAATAGGGATCGTTGTGATATCATTGTTTGAACGTTATGAGCTTGGTATATCTATACTATTATAATAAAACGTAAACACATACTTTGTTGCCTAAGATCTAAGCAGTTAAAGCATATTTTTGAATAATTCTTGTTTTAATAAAAAGCCCTACACTTACGTCACGCTTTTTATATATTTTCACACTATTAAACTTAGGGGGGTAAATATTTTGTATTAAAACCCTAATGTGGGAAAGAGACCATAAGTCGCTGCCAACATCAAGGAAGCAAGGTTGCCAAGCTTTGTCATCGTGTCACGTCATTTTTGACATTTGCAATTGATAATGTGACACATGTAAACAATAAAATATTTTTTTTATAACTTGATGCGGTGAAGCCGCACGGAAACAGCTAGTCGATGATATTCTGACTGAGGAGCATTGTGAATGTATTTCTGGAATCCGACTTTACCCATGGCCGCCCACATGTGATCTCGAGTAGTAGTAATTCTGATATCGTGCTAGCTCAAGCCGACATATATATACTGGCTGTTCCAGTCAAATTATAAATATTTTATTTTATTGTTTACAATTCTGTCAAATTCTCAATTGCAAATGTCAAAATACTATAGTAATCTTGCTTCCTTGATGTTGGCAGCTTGATATCGTCTCTTTTCAACATTACGTTTTTTTTTATTTATTTTCCCCTTAAGTTTAAAAGCGTTATATATAGCCTAAATCATGACGTAAGTGTAGGGATTTTTGGTAAAAGAATTATTCAAAAATATGATGTAATTGCTGACATCTTACGCCACAAAGTAGTGTGTGTTTACGCTTTATTATATTAGTTTGTCTAAATAAAGTTGATTAGTGTTCGGTACAGATCGTACTGGTTCGCCACATTCGGTACGAACATAATTTTGTATTTCGCGCCCCGGGTTTAGTGCGGGTAAGCGCGCTTATTTTATTTTTCTCGCACGGGCGGGTAGAAGAATAAACCCTCTCCACTACGGACGGGCGCGGGGCCTGCGGAGAGGGGTGCGAGGAAAAGGTCGGAATCGAGCAGCCAAGCGGAACGGTCGCGAACACTTGTGCGGATTAGAGTTGCTCTTTTGATAACGCGGAGACACAACAGGTGTGTCGATTTCGGTAGCGAACGGGGTCGCTAAATTCGGTTGCGCGTTCGAAATTATTGGTACATCTTCAAGGCAGCATCGCTGGGCCTATAGACTTGACTGAACCAGACTTTGACTCGATTGACATTGACTGAGACAAGGCACCTGCAGGAGGTGCCTTGTCTCAGTCAATGTCCCTCCCATCCTTTCCTCTTAAGAAAAGGGTGGAAAGGGAAAGGAATTAGGCCTCCGGCACCACACTCATCAGACGAAACGCGGAATTGCTTCCACTTCACGCCTGTTTTCTGTGTGGTCGTGGTATTGCACCGGGCGAGCCGGCCCTTTTCGTGCGAAGATGTTAAAGCGGGCTCTACCACTCTTGAAATATCCACATTTACTCTCTTTTCAGTATAGCAGTTGAAAATTGACCGGTACAGACGCGGCATTTTGGATATATAGTTTAATTTTTTTAATCAGCTTAGATTACCACTAATTTAATAAAAATAAATGTTAAATGTTTTCAGATATCAGTCGCGTTGACGCCATTCTGTTCTTCGTACGGTGCTTACGTAGCGGTGGCCATCGCTTTTGGAATCGCCATTTGTAAGTATTATTCTATTTAAATAAATATAAGTTAATAAACGTTATATGTGAAGTTCTTGAAAAGTTAACACTAAACGTAGATCATTAAAAAAAAACTAAGCGAACTTCTTTTAGTAACTTAAGTTATAGTACTTAACACTTTCGCAAGCATTATTTACAATTTGTTAGAGATTAAAATGTTTATAATCATACTAATGTTATAAATGCGAAAGTTTAGATGGATGGATGTTTGTTAGAGATTGTAGTCTAAACAGCTGATCAGATTTCGATGAAATTTGGTATAGATATAGAGGATAGTCTGGAAGAAAACATAGACTACACACTTTTGTTTTTTTTTTAATTCCACTCTTACGGAGTTGCGGGGGAAAGCTAGTATTAATATATTTTAAATAATTTAAGGCTTGTTTCCATATCTGTCACCGCAGGATTCTGTTAAACTTCACTTTTGTTACTCCCTTGATTTATGCAATTCATCGATATTTTTCACCTATCAAAAATAACTTTAAAATAAAATTATGTATGTACTTAGTCTAATTTAATTTAAACAAATACTAAAATGTGTAATAATATAATCTTGTTTGGCACTTTATAATTTACAAACTGTTGCTCGCGAACTCGTCCGTGACAAATTGAAAAATTGAAAAAGATTAAAAAATGTAGCCTAAGTTACTCACAGACTCACAGAACTTTTCTTAAGGTGAAAGAATTTTAAAATCGGTTCAGTAGTTTTTGAGTTATTTCAATACGTACAAAAATACAAATCTTTCCTCTTTATAATATTATTTTATTTATTTATTCTTTTGCACAAAAGTTACAAAACATTCTTAAAAGCCAAAACAAAATATTAGTATAGATGTATTTACTTAACTTAGAAAAAAATGCTTTAATAAATTGTTTCTAATAATTTTATGCACCTGTTGGCTAATTTATCGATTTTATATGGTTATTTTTATATTATATTTTGTAATTAATATAAATAAAATAAAGGGCACTTAGGTGATTACTTTATATTAAAATAATACTTAAAAATTCCAGCTGGATATATATCATTGACGTCTATAATCCTGGTGGACCTGCTGGGTCTGGACAAGCTGACGAACGCGTTCGGGCTGCTGATCCTGTTCCGCGGCGCGGCCGCCATCGTGGGCTCTCCGCTGGCGGGCGCGGTGTACGACGCCACGCACAACTACGACGCCTCCTTCTACATGGCGGCGGCCTTCTTCCTCGCCGCCACCCTCACCTCCTTCGCAGCACCCATATTCAGAAGGTAACTTCATAACACTCTTCATCTTATTGTCATTCTAGCTGTTCCCGTGCGGCTTCGTCCGCATTAAATTATAAAAAAAACGTTATTTTCTTGTTTACATTTGTCAAATTATCAATTGCAAATGTCAAAATGACATACATACTCATAGATAATACATATATATGCTGAGATACATACATACATACTTTTTTAAAAAGAGCAACCGTTTTTAAGACGCATTATGCAGTTGATTTGCTTGTCCACATTAATCAAATTAATATACTCGTCATATGATTACATCTTACTAATATTATAAATACGAAAGTTTAGATGTATGGATGTTTGTTAGAGTTTGTAGCCTAAACGGATGAATGTACCTCGGATGAAATTTAGTATAGATGTAGAGGATAATCTGGAAGAACGCATAGGTTACTCACTTTTGTTTCTCTAAATTCCACGGGGATGGAGTCTAAAGTTAGTAGCTAATTCTCATCGTCATCATCAACTTGTTCTTATCACTTATGGATGGTCGGCACAGTATGTGCTGCTCTTCCATACATCTCTATCAGCCGTCATATCTGAATCCACTCCTTTCTTTAGCACATCATCTTTTACACAATCCATCCATACTTTCTTCGGTCTTTGGGTGTACAAAGTTTTCGCTTCACGAATTAATATAATTATAAGTTATAATATTGATTTCAAATCACAGTGTGGTTATCGACTCGATCGATCGACATTCTTAACACTTTCTGGTTTATGTCCCCATCGTCTCGTCGCATAACATGTCCATACCACACTAACCTTTTGCTTCTCATTTCTCTACCACTGGCGCTACTTTCAAACCTCCTCTAATATACACATTCTTAACTTTAGTAGTAGCTAATAATTCTAATCATTTGAATACTCTCATTATTAGAAAACAAGAAGAAATCCAGCAACCGTTGGACGTGCTAACTCCTATCGACGAGGATCTGGAGGAAGGAGAGGACGAGGACCCTGACGACACTCCTATCACTATGGGGGCGCACATCGGGC